TTTTTTTTTTTTTTTTTTTTTTTTTTTTTTCAGTCTTTACGCTGACGCTACTGAACTAATATATATCCCATGGCTTTAATGTTTTTTCCTCCGTTATCAGACGTGAATCCGTTCGGAGCGTTGTTCCCGCAAGTGTTGGAATCATCAGTCTGACCTCCTGTGCCAAACCCAATCCTAGAATCACAAGTAATGCAATCTCGCTGGTCATTTCCAAGAATACCAATTCTTGCTTTGGCCGAATCGCTTTGACTGGCTGCTGCATTGAAGCCTTCTCGATTGCAGCCAGCCTGCAAGGAGGCATATGAGCCAATCAGCGATTTCCACTTGTCACGACCCAAAGAGGTCGCCTGGAAGACACCACCCGCGATCAGAGAGTGCAGAGAGCTGGCTTTCATGTCAACCGGAACGAACTTTACCTGCTGGCCAATTCTCATGCCGAGACAGACCCTTGTGAAGGGTGTGGCCCAATAGGAAGGCAACTTGGTCTCTTCCATGTCAAAGCCAGTTTTTCCCCCTGCAACGTTGTATGTGTTTGTGTCGCTCCACAGAAAAGAATCATAGTGGAACGTCCTCTGAAATTTAATGCCAAAGAAATCGTTCTGATTATCATTCAGGCTAAGGAAGAGGAAGATGGATGCCAGAAGATATTTTCTTCAATGCCGTTCCCAGCTTTTTTTCGAGACACATTTAGGCCAATTTTGGCTACCCCCTCCCTCCCCAACGCGCTTGAAATAAATTAGCCCCAGGGGGCTTGAGAGAGGATTCGGAGGTAGGACAGTCCCAGACTTCTCCGTGGATCCGGTATTGTTATGTTTACTACCAGCTGAAATATATCACTGATCTGTAGCATACCTTGTATCCGTTTATTTTCACTGCTAGAGTCCAACCTCCACCGCCGCATCCAAAATCTCCCATGTGACAGTACACAGGAACTTCTTGTAAGCCAAAGTTGATATTGTATACCTGACTGATTGAGCTCCTAAGGACAGGGAAAGGGACATAAATTATGTTAAAAGACTGCAAGTGCAGTCCAAAGCGTATAACGTATTTCCGACAAAGTACGCGATGAAGACTCCCTCGATAGGGTACTGAAAAAGGGTACAGAGTTAAGCGGGACACGATCATAACAAATTGTTATAAGTATTGTACCTACTACTAAAGTCGGAAATTAGAACAAAGAACACGTAGATTTTGTTTTGTTTTATTATCTGGGTATCGATCGTCGATATTTCGTCAAAGTTATTTGTTCAGCTGTACTGTGAGTCATCAACTTAAAATAAAAATTTTCATATTTTATATCCTGGACTAGCTGAACTTAACTTTATCATTTGGCCGTAGTGATGTAATTCAATTTATTTGAGTCTATGAAGTAGTTCTGTGATAAACGCTATCAAAAAGGGTACTTCTTTTAATCAACAGAAGGCCAATACCACTGAATCAAATTTGCATCAACGATGAGTTAATCCAGGAAATTTGTTTAGGTAGTTGGCGACTTTCCTTCTCCTAGTGTTGATTTGGGGCTCAAGCAACAAAATGTTATTAAGAAGATTTCTGTTTAATTACTTCAAAAATTTCGTATGGCCTTTGCATTTGAAATTACCGTTAATTAACTGGATTTTTATAATCAGATGATTTGCAATCGTGTCTATGTGTTCTTTTTTATTAATTATTATTATTTTTATGTGATTATATCAAACATTTTTCAACACTAATTCTTTGTATATAGTTGTTTCGATCAAACTAAGTAGGTTTCCACTTTTTTAACTTACGGATCATTGTCATACTGTTCTTTGCATGAAGCAACGGGAATTCCTGAAAAAGACAAAACGACTAGGCTGTCAGCGCAACAGAAAGGAGACGTGAATTCAAGATAGAACAACAACAACAAAAAGAATGTGAGTGAAACATATAATCATTAAGTGAATCTGTAAAGAGAAAACTTGGCTGATTAAGAAACATAATGGTCACTGAAAAAAATTTTAAGGCTTATGGCACGTTGTATATTCACTAATTAAGACCATAATTCTTAAAAAAAACTGCAATGTTTTGCGGGGAAATAACCTTTTCAGCTTCCGTTAAAAAAAAAAAAAAATCGCGATGCTACGTTAGATATTTGAACAAGGTCCTGACACTCTAGATTGCATAATGTTGCGTATGATGAACGGCTAAAAAGACTGAGGCCCATATACCCTTCTTCCAAAAATAGGCGCGTTTAGGAAGGAATCTGTTTTTGCTGTGGTCCAAACGCGAACTTAAGTAATCGCGTCAGTCAAGTGAGATAAACAACGGGCGCATATCTCTAGCAATTATCCAGAAAACAAAAGTCGGCCTTATGCAAATCCGCCCTTTCTTAGGAACATGTTAAGGATCTCGTTTTAAGCTACGAAGCTTAAAAGAGCGGGCAAGATTAATGGGGCTTACCTGGTGGGTTTGTAGGTTCAGGGCTGGAAGTAGAGCTGTTACTGACTAGTGAAATTAGGTGATCCACTTTCCTTTCTAATGCCTTGATGGCTTTACTCACATTTGAACTGGGCTGATCCGTGTTAATGTTACAGTTGCAAACCACAGAAGGCTTGTCACAACAGATAGCAGCCGACTGGTTATTTATCATTGTTAACAGTGTTAATCACTGCTACAACTCTAACACCAATCAAAATGGACAACACAACAAAAACATAGGAAAAGTGCATTATTACCATTTTACATGGAACATAACATAACATAACATAACATAACATAACATAACATAACATAATCTTTATTTAACGTGGGAGAAACACTTAGCTAAAGCTATTTTGCAGGTTTTCCACAAATCAATATTAAGAAAGAAAGAAAAAAAATATGTACATAGAAATGTAAAAATATATATATATATATAAAAATATAAAATATCTAGCATCTAAAATTACAAAATTAGATAACTAAAATTGAATGTTTCTCACTTGTTTGTTACATGGAACACGATACTCGTCGACTACGCCTTGATTTGGGGGGAGATACTTCTATTCCCTTTCCCGTTATCTTGAATATATAACGCGGAAAGATGCATTCTGATTGGTTGGTATAGACCGAAGAACAATCGTCCATTTGACCGTATCAGACTGGGTCGGTTTTGTGTCGAACTCCACCATGGGACTTTATTTGGGGACGAATTTTGATCCAGTTTCCCGCGCTTTGTAAAAGCCAATGAAAGAAGCGATACCATCCCAAACAGTCCCATAGTACATTGCGACAAAAATAGCCAATAAGGCTATGTCCACAAAGGTCGGTTTCGAAACCCATAAGTTTTCGGCGGTCCACACGAAAACGATATTTATCCGCTAAAAACCCTCCCTGAACACTGCTTACAAAATATCTGCTAACAAACATGGGTAATACCAATTTCTCCAGTGAGAACCTGAGATTCGTCAAAATAAGCATAGTCAAGCGAGCGCGGATCTAGTATAAATACTGACCGATTACCTAAATGAGCGCCAAAGGCGCAAGCTTCTAGTGGGGTCCAAGTGCGGGCTTCCCCAGGAAATGTTCTGGATTGTTACTCCTTAA